GAGAGAGGGTGAGGGGGAGAGAGAGAGAGAGAGAGAGAGAGAGAGAGAGAGAGAGAGAGAGAGAGAGAGAAGGGGGGGGCACGTGCTACTTCGTTTCTTCTTTGCCGTCTGCCTTCCAGGAAATGTTGGAAAATGAATGCCCGGCATCATGGCTCCCATGTCAACGCTACTCACGACAAGTCCCCCAGACGAAGAGCAACTGCCAAGCAGATTGAATGCTGCTGATTGTTTCATCATTCATACAATGCAAAACCCCAGCTTCTTAACATCAGTGACACTCCTATTGTTGTTGGAGGCGCCTTCCAACAACTTCCCCGGGCCAATCATCAATGACATCATCCGACCCCACCAACTCAACAACAAGCGCATGTCATTGATGATTGGCCCGGGGAAGAGGGATACATGCAAGATCGATTGATCGCAAACCTGAGAGAACTCACCCACACGCGCATGCACTTGCGCACATAGAGTCAAGACTTGTCAAGTAAGCAGGAGGCATACATGCAAGATCGCTTTATCACAAACATATTCAGAGAACATAGAAAACAAAAGTCTGAATCGGAATCTTTAGCAAAAATGTCAACGGGACTACGGACAGGATTTTCTCATAAAGTTCACAGTTCTTGCACAGCACCAAAGAAAAACGATGCTGCAAAGGCAGCGGCTTCCCAAGCAAAATACTCGCAGATAAGAAACAAAAAAAGTTCGGTGGTATTCTCTCCTATTTCTTGCACGCGGATTTCTGTATGCTCTCAGGCTCTGCTTTTTGTTTTTGTGAAACAAGCGGCATATGATAGGGCAGTTCCTTCTGCTTTTTCTTTCTTTTGTGCTTTTTAGTTTTCTGTTTTTGCGGGCGAAGCTGCAACGGGTCATCTAGTTCACATAGTAGGACATACTGTGTATGACAATTAGATAGTTGGGCATAGTATGTACTACAATCAGGTTCAGTTGCCTATCATTGTGTTTAGGTTACTGAAATGCAAATGGGTGCATATGTACATAGTAGTACATAGCACATATGTGCTACTTTTGAGTTTGTCCCAAGTGGGGTCGTGCTGCTATTTTTGTTTCTGTGCGACGTGCGTGCTATTTTTCTGTTATTTTGGGCGGGCTGCATGTTCTTTTTTTTTGTGTCCGATGATGTTTCTTTTTCTTTTATTTTTTCAAAGGACGACAGTCTTGAGGTGAGCACTAGTCGCCGTAGGTAGGATAGAGGGAGTGCTGCTCCATGGTTTGGCAGTAGAACGAGAATGAGGTTGAGAAACATCAAGCCTGTGCAGAGAGGTGAGAATGAGAGAGAGTCTTAACTGAGTTACCCGGTGGCAATTACTTGCTGGATAGACAGCACCTTGCTTCAGAAGACTGGCAGTGCTGGTTGAGAGCATCAACCTCCATAGCACAAGTTGATATAGCGCTGGAGGCTTGAGTGGTATTTTGGCAAGTTGCTAGTGAAAGAGACATTGGCTACATTATCATCCGTAGCGGGTTAGGTTTGATCATTTAGGTGGCAAGCAGAGAGGAAGAAGCCTGGAGGTTTAAGGAGAGTGAAAGAGACGTGAAGTTTGTATCCATTGATTATTATTCAAAGCTTTCCTTCTCCTCTCCTGTTTTTCTCCACCTTTGTCTTTGTTCTAGTCTACTTGCTACTTCATGTTGATGAGATACATTATGTGAGTTGAGTTTATGCATGGTGTGGAAACTGTGATTTTCTCAGGAGTGGGTTTATTTCACTATCGTCGTGTAAATAATTTGCAGTGCGGAGGCAGTGGCAAAGCCCAAGGTCAGTTAACCGATTTGATCGCCCATCTTTCAGAATTTTTTAAGTGCCTTCTGTAACAAAACATGAAAACCTCTTGAGCCAAAGTTATCACCAACCCACAGAATGGAGCCCAACGGACACCAAATAAGCCCCTAGGTGCCTATGCGAAACAGAGGGAAAGAAGAAGCCCTAAACTCTGAAGGGGAAATGGAAAAGTACCGTTTGTTCAAAATCCAACCTTGGCAAGCTTTTCGTCTTTCAGTTTCCTCAGTGTTCCCAAAAACAACCACTCGTGCAACTGTAAGATCTTATCCGCTTTATACACACAGGCCCTAAACAGGAATGAAACATGACAAGCTCCAATTTTGGCTTTTGGGGAGTTAACCTGAGCACTGCAAAGCATGGGTACCTGTTGACCACGTGCAACAGAACATCTTGTATTGGTAACAAAACCAGTTGTAAAGTTTTGTCACAGCGCTATGATAGCAGAAGAAAACAGTGAGCAAGACGCAGCAGAAGTTGAGGCACAGCATTACTCCTGTGACAGTCCTGACACTAATATTCCCTTGTGTATCTGCTATGCATGTGACAAGGTGTGCATCGTATGGAGTGCAGGCCGGAGTCCGTTTGCCAGTTCGGGTACAATTCTTCGCTCGCGGTATATTTTGATGAGGTTGTACCAAGAACAGGAGCTCTTGGGGACCTCTTCATTGCCAGGGGCTCAGGGTTTTCACCGGTTAAAACGGAAAACGAGGTCGACATTGGGGGGAGACTTGGGACTGTCTTAAGCGCAAATTATACAACAATCATATTTAAGGTTCACCGGAGGTCTAAAGCTGGGCCTACTGATGTCTCTGTAACGGTTCAGGGGCATGGGATTGCCGTCAAACGAGGACCGGTAGGCAGCACGATGGTGCTCCTTCAGGCATTATTACTTCGTGCTGTTCGGCCACAGATGATTGCCATGCAAGGCACTACCCTGGTGACTCTTACAGGTAGTGCCTTCGATTCGGTTGTTCCCTCCAGAATATCTGTACGGATTGCTGGCATACCTTGCACAGTTCGCCTAGAATCGGTGACTGAAAACTCTCTTGTTTGTGCATCTGGGCCTGTACCTCCTATGGCTGCTGCACCAGTAGAGATGATAATACAATTTGATAATGGACAAACTCAGTCTGCCACTGGACCTATGGTTACTTCTGCGATGTTTGGTGTGCCATTTATCACAATGATTGACCCTGACACAACAAGCTCTTCAGCGCCAGGGGACTTGAAAATTTCAGGGGGTGGATTTCGAACCAAGGAGATTCTGTTTGCAGAAGTTGGGGATTCTCCATGTAGCATCGACAAGCTGGTGGGAGACGTTATCACCTGTAAAATGGGACCAATGAAGCAGGGCAAACATCGTGTGGTGGTCACCATGTTTCTGGAGGATGGCACCTCACTGTATGCGCAAGCACCACAAGATCTAGAAGCTTTTTTTGGTAAGCATTGTCATCTCTTTCTCCCCCCCCCCCCCCCCCATTAAAACAGGTCCTTATGGCCCTGGCTCCATAATCCATATCCATTCTGGGGAGAACACCCTCACGCTTCCTTCCGTTTGGCCGAAGGACCCCCGATCAGCATTGATTGCTCCAGATATCTGGAGGATTGACTGTCAGCTCTGGAGGATTGACTGTCAGCTTGCCTTCCCTCTACCTCTCCTCTCCGCTCTGTTTACCCAGAGCTGCCAAATTTAACGTGAAACCAAGAAAGGATTAAGAGGTGAGGAAGCCCAAATCCCTGAACTTGTCGGAGAAGTCCCATTGGACTCTGATCTTGTAGGTTGTTGACTGCTTCTTTGCCGACCTCATCCTCTCTGCCATGCCATAGAGTTAATGTGGCCTGTATTGGGTCCTGCCGATCAGCTGATTGGGACCTCTGCCTTCCAAGCCCCGCTTCTGAATTGTGTCAGTCTTTCCATCGTCAAGCATAGAATGTTTTGTTTTCAGCCACTTGCATAGAATTTTAGCGTGAATCAATGACCTTGTAGCCGGACGGCGCTCTCTCTTGGAGTGGAGAGGTCTTCAAGAGTTCTGCAGCTCCTTTCCTTCCATATAGACCAAAGTGTCACCTTTCACTACATTATAACAATCGCTATTTGGCGGCCTGTGACCAGCAGCCAATCTGGGCCCTCCTTTTCGTTGGTGCGCGACGGTCCAGATTGGCTGCTGACCGTTTTCATGTCATCAACTCGCGATCTGGACCGTCTTCGGCATTGAACCCCGCGGTCCAGATTGCGTGTTGATCATTTTGAAGACGATCGCTGGGCCGGTAACGAATTCCCGCTGGGTCGGTAGGCCCTGGCCCGGTAGTGTCACCTGCGGCACTCCCCAGGCAAATTTTTGGCCCAGTAGTATCGCGCGCGGCACTCCCCAGGCCAATATGGGAACAGTACACGCTTGTGGGGTTGATGTAACTAACATTTTTTTGCCAGGCTGCGCCAGAAAAAAACGGCGTAGTTGATGTAACTAACAATTTTTTGCCAGGCTGTGCCAAAACGAAACGGCAAACTTCGTCCTCGACGCTACTGTAAAGGCGCTACTGTATAGGCTACACTCAACTTATGCTGGCTGGCTACTACTCTACACTACTGGACTTCGACTCTCTACGCTCGATGCTACTGTGTGCTGCAACAATCAAATTTGCTACTCTCTCTCTCTCTCTCTCTCTATATATATATATATATATATATATATATATATATATATATTGTCACATCACTACAAACTAAAAGAGCGCACTTTGCGGAACAAGAATAAAAGCAAAAAACGGGCACAGTGATAACATGCAAAAATAAAAA